CGAAAATAATTTAGATTGTCAAAAATATTTTAGATTGTCAAAAATATTTTAGATTATCGAAAATATTTTAGACTGTCAAAAATAAGACTACGTACTAAGTCTTGGATCGTAATATATAAGTATTATATAATTATGCGACAAAAATAGTGTCACAGTTCCTCTTGTGATGCATTTCCTGAGGCTTAGATAATCAAGATTTTTTTATTCTTTTTTATTTACTTTCGTTGTTTGTTTTGTTATTATTATAATTGTTGAGGACAATGTGCAAGATATATCTGACAAATATATCTATAAAGTGTAGGGAACTGGTTATTTTTGCTGTTATCGTAGACCCATTACCTACCAAATTAAGGTTAAACTAGTTATTGTAAGGAGAATTGTTGATTATGCATGAACATGCACAACGTTGTTTCCTTGGCACAAAATTGAGATACAACGTTGTTTAGTAAGGGTGGGAAGCGCAGTAGTTATTAGTAAAAGAATAATGTATTTAAAGGGTTCTTTTTGACTTTAATAAAAATTCCTCAGACTTCAATATCTTAATATAAAATAAGGATTCATTTCTCAAATAAGATCTTTGACATCTTCGGTATAATGAATATGAATTAAGTAAAAACCTGTTACTAAATAAATCTATCCCAAGTTGCGATTGGAGCTAAACTGCGCATGTATGCGTATCGCTCTCCTAACCAATCGTAACAAGATCTTTTAAAATAAATATGACTTTGCAATTTGTAGACATGCATAATAGCAAGTTGCTAATTATATCGATATGTTGGAATTTTAATATGAAAAAATGTATCAAACAATTAAATACTTTAATTTTAGATCGACCACCTATAATAATATAAACAGTCTAAAATAATATCAACAGTCTAAAGTAATATCAACAGTCTAAAATAATAAAATAATATCGACAGTCTAAAATAATATCAGTGGTCAATAATAATATCAGCGGTCAATAATAATATCAGCAGTCAATAATAATATCAGCAGTCAAAAAACATTTTGACATGCAACGTTTTGAAGCACCATAGTGAAAATACCTAAAAAATTTCGTCAGACCGACTGTCGAAAATCATCCCTAATTTAGACACCCATGTATACGTATGCCAAAAGTAATATGCACTTAATGGTAGCTATTCTATGCATACCTTAAGCGATTAATTTCCTACACCATATGTATGTACTTACATACGTGCATGTAATGTCATTTTAATTGGCTAAAACAAAGTTTAAAATAGTTTAGCACGTAAAAAAAAGTCTGGCACGTAAAAAAAAAACTTTGGTATGTAAATTTCTTTAAAAATCTCATTTAAAAGTTTTATAACGATAAAAATATATATATATAAGACTAACTCAGCTGAGCTACAGAGAATTTTTTGTTTGAGAAATAAATGAAGTGGAAACATACTCGAGCCCGCTTAGCTAGTAATATATTTTGTGGGGCTATAATTGATGAACGCACAGTATTTTGTGTGTGTGGACAAAAAATTGTCCTAGACAATGATTATGATGAGTCAAGGCTTATCGAACATTCTAAAAATTCAAGATGTAAATTGAATAATAAAAAAAAGCAGCTCGGCTTACCTGGTCTGTTCCCGGTCTTACCTAACTCTAAAAAAAGAAAAGAAAATCCACCATTATCATCGTACCCACCATCATCTTCACTGCCACTGTCACCATCTCTTCCACCGTTTCCAAATAAACCTTGTCCTGGATTACATTCTGAACAAATTAGTTCTTACATTAATAGAACACCATCCACCTATGGTGGCGCACGACGACGTGAAGTGATTGGAAAGGAAATGTTCCCAAATAAATTTTCAAATAATATGAATTTCAATTCTAAAAAACTTAATGAAGAAGAAATAATACAATTTAATCAACAAGTAATGGTTGAATCCGAATGGTTTATCGATCGTTTTGGTAAGTTAATTAATGCCATGATTGAAATTAATTATTCACTCTGTTATATTAGAACTTTTTATTATTTACTCAGAATTTATTTATTTGGCTTTATAATGGTAATCTTAGGGATGTGTATTCGTTCTGTTAATTGTGAAAAAAAAACGTATGGGCAAACCTGCTCTCCGTGTTCTCTTCTTTATAATAATCCATGTTTTTTGAATCGTATTAAAGCTGTTACTCCTGACCCAAAAAATATTAAATATACACCCAAATTTTATTATAATAATGATCCATTATTATCTTACCTGAAAAATAATCACATTAAACAATTGCATAACATTCTTTTTGATGGGAATTCATCATCAAAAGAATTTTGGACAGAATTTTCAGAGAAAGCTAATGAAGGCGCATTTGAGCAAAAGCCGGTTTTTAAAGGACTTTGCTATATTATGTTACAAGCTACAGAACGTGAAAAACAAGATAAAGGTTTACAGAACCTCAAATATTCAAATGAATTCTTAAATTTCCTTGTAATTTTGGGAAGCATCAGTTTAAAAGCATTGGATTTATTTCGTCAGAATTTGGCAGGTATAACCATTCGAACAATAAGGTAATTATAATTTAATGTATACCAATTATCTATTTAATTTAAAAATTAAATTATATCACCACAGAAAATTATCCGCTCTGTCTAGCAGCATAATTATATTTAAAAATTGTTTTATTATTTATAGGCGTCATAGAAGAATTTCAGATGATGTTATCAATAATCCTGATCTTTGCTATGAAAATGTTGCTCGTTTTAAGAGACTTTTAGATACATTGCATTATCAGGGTCCTGTTGTGGCTATGACTGATTGTACAAAAATAAAAGTCGGGTTACAGTATTCTTCAAGTTTAGGTTGCATTGTTGGATCAACCTTAAACCAAAAAGATTGTAAGATTGAAACTTACGAT